CTCTCTCTCTCTCTCTCTCTCTCTCTCTCTCTCTCTCTCTCTCTCTCTCTCGACGGGTAATCAATGCACGGGAAACGCAACTACGCACATAACCTTCCAACGCACTGCACTAGCACAACTTAACTGCCTTCTAAGAGGGAGGGGAGAAGTTGCGATTTGCACCACCTGATGCTGCGCGGTTTTTTTACAGCGACACGAGTGACTGGACGACTGAGACCTCAAGCAAATTGCTTAGCCGCTCGCTCCGCTCTCGACAGGCTGGCGTTCAATCTTGCCGCAGCTATTAGGTGTAAAAACCCCTACGGACCGTAAAACCAGAGCATACGTCGTTACTAATGGCACTTACGTATGTTTCGCGTTGTGTCATATATGTGCGTCGGAAGTTCGGTCCCCACTGCGAGAAAAAAATCCGCCTGCGACTTTAAGAAAGTAAGCTCGCTTTCGTAGAAACTCTCTCTCTCTCTCTCTCTATCTCTCTCTCTCTCTCTCCCTCTCTCTCTCTCTCTCTCTCTCTCTCTCTCTCTCTCTCTCTCTCTCTCTCTTTCTCACCCATCTGTTCTCTCATTCTCTCTCCCTCTCTCTCTCACTCTCTCACTCACTCACCCCCCTCTCTCTCTCTCTCTCTCTCTCTCACTCACTCTCTCTTCCTCCCCCTCTCTCTCCCCCCTCTCTCTCTCTCTCTCTCTCTCTTTCTCACCCATCTGTTCTCTCATTCTCTTTCCATCTCTCTCACTCTCTCTCACTCACTCACCCCCTCTCTCTCTCTTTCGTTCTCTCTCTCTTCCCTTTCTCTCTCTCTCTCTCTCTCTCTCTCTCTCTCTTACTCTCTCTCTCACTCTCTCTCTCTCTCTCTCTCTCTCGCTCTCTTTCCCCCCAATCTCTCTCTCTCGCTCTCTCTCTCCATCTGTTGCTATGCTGTAGCCCTCTGCCGGCTCAAGTATATCCCTACTTAAAAACCATCCCATGTACTCCTTTCATCCATCTTTACTTCTGACCAAAGACCATCTGCACAGCTCAACACCGTAATGTACTGCAGTGACGTCGACTTTCAAAGTATATAATTATCTTAGCAACTTCCCCGCTTTTTCCTCTCTTCATATTTTTCATGATTCTGACTATCGGCTATGGTAAACTTCGATGGGTTTTCCACTCTGAGGGTTGGAAAAAGGGGCTCTAATCACAGTGTCCCGGGTAAAGGTATGCCATTATGCAAAAAATTCCATTTTTCGCAGTTTCCATTTTAACAAAATTGCAATTCCCACAGTTCTATTGAATCTCAATTTAAAAATGTAAAGAACAATTTAATAATAATCCAGCACACCCGGTCGCCAAATAATTACAATGGTTCAATCCCGCTTCCCAAAAGTAACCATATCCGCTCCCCTTTCTTAATGCGATATCTTGGAAGGTGTCCCCTTCGTCTCCCATATATATACGAGACACGTTTATAGTCATGCGGTAATGGCATAAGTTTTCATGCAAGCAGCATCAGGAAGAAAAACCCGCAGTTACGTGCTGTGACCGTGAAGTGATATCGGTTGTTTGTCTAAGTACATCTAATTAAATATTTCATTTCCACGCTCTTCCCTCCTTCATAATTTAACTGAATTCGACTATCGGCCATGGGGAACGTCGCTAACAGAGGGTGGGAAGCGACGGAAAAAATCGCAGTTGCGATATTGAAGCGTATCTACGCAAGCGGTGCGCACACGCGCGGACGATCAAACCGAATCGACGTCCGTCCTTGAATCCGCGTATCCACGCAGGTCGACCGCCCGCGGACATGCAGACGCTCACGTGCGCCCGCCATACCGCTACCTTATAACACACTTTTCACGATTTTCATCATTCGCAGCGCTTAGAATTCGACGTCGCTGATATAATATCTTGTGCGTCGCGATCGCCCCCTGGCGGACGTCGTCCGCTCACAGATCAGAGGTCGCGCGTGCGGCCGTAGCGAGTGTTGCTATGCGGATTGCTCGCGGCACCCGCGCGCGTCTGGCGAGCAGAATTCGCTATATACTGGTTTATGAGCCTCGCCGGCATCAGCTAATTATTCGCCGACGACGCAGACGACGAACTAGGCTGCGTGCGTCCGCCGCAAAAATTCCATCGCTCCGGGAAAATGAGAACTTTTTGCGAAAGTTTCCCGTGCGCATGCGCGCAGACTCCGACCCCGTAGTTGGCGTCCAGCCTCAAACTCCACGACAGATGGCGCTCTCGCTCTGGCTCAATTCTACTGTATTATCCTGAGTGTGGGAAGGGGGCGCTGCATGCAGTTTGGTCCAGCCAGCGCCGCGCGCGGTCACGTGTGCGCGGTCACGTCGGCGGTCACGTGGCATCGGCGCAGCGTTCCTGTGAGCCTCCGCCGCTGCTGCCGCTGCTGCCGCTGCTGCCGCAGCTGTAAGCATTCAAAGAAGCCAACGACCGCCGCTAAAGTTTACTTTAAAGTTATTACTGACGGACTGGAATCGGGTCAGGGGTATAATGTACCCACTATTAGGGTGATAGACGAGATTCTATTCCGCTCACCGCGGGAATCTTGCGTTATCACGCAAGGCTTTGTCGGGCTGATAGGTTTTTAATCGGCTCTTGCGGCTCAGGTCAGTTAAACTCATTAAGGTGATATAGCTTTTTCAAACAATAAGCCGGACGACCTCGCTTAAGCTCGTAAGTCAGTTATAACTAGTCGTGTATATAGGTACAGAGATAGAGAGAGAGATAGAGAAATAGAGAGAGAGAGAGAGAGAGAGAGAGAGAGAGAGAGAGAGATGAAGTTGATCGAAGCTGCGACGTGAAGAATGACGTTGATTTTGTCAGTTAGCAGCTCGTAGTCACTGTCGGACATGCCGAGCTGTGGTTCAATGACATCTCCGCTGATGATGTGCAGCTTTTTGAGGACCTCGGGTGTTTCATTTTTTATAGGAACAAACACCTGAAAGATAGAAATCAGATCGTCATATCATGTAAGGTTTCGTGTCCACTTAGCCGTGGTACACCGATTCCCACCGTACTAGCGCTACTCACATCAGACTCGAGAACTTTCTGCAGTCGTTCCTCTGGCGTCTTATCGCGCTTCGGTCGCATCAGAAGGTAGAGTCCTCCGACGTCGGGGCAGGTTCTCAGCAGCTTCTCTATCACGCATTTCCCAATGAAGCCCGATCCACCGGTGATGAACACGTTCTTACCGGCGTAGAATTGCGCGATCGACGGACGCATTTCACCTGCCATGACGACTGAGTCTATGCTGTAATATGTGTTGCAGGGACAAGTGATCGGTTGTTGACAGCGCGAGTTTGACTGACCCGCGACGGTCGCGCCCAGTGCTTTTATGAGACACTAATTTTTGCATGAAAAGATTACTGTTTGTTTGCGGAAGTTCAATAGGGCGCTGTGTGCACCCTACACTTGCGTGTTTGCTTAGGCTGTCCTGGATCACGACGTCTTTCCAGTACCGTGACTTTACGTAGCGTACTGATTAGCATTAAGCCCGGCGCACACGTGAGTTATTTAAAAAAAGTAAAATGACGCATGAGTCAAATTACTCAACGAAAATCCGCCGAACACGTGAGTAAAATGACGCATGCGTCAAATTACTCAACGAAAATCCGCCGCACACGTGAGTAAAATGACGCATGCGTCAAATTACTCAACGAAAATCCGCCGCACACGTGAGTAAAATGACTTATGCGTCATTTTACTTGAGTAAAATAACTTACGTGTGCGCCGAGCTTTAAGCAGATGTCGGCAGAATCGACGAACGCAGCTCACCTGTTATAACGACTGCCTATTCCTTTTTGACAATATATAAATGTATAATATACGTAGGTATAAATTATGTGGTTATATTAGGTAGGTTTATATTATGTGGACTGAGATTATGTAATATTTTAAAACCCCTCTTAACCTTTAGTTGCATTACACTGTACTGTACTGGTGCCTTAAAGCCTTACAGGCTTAAACTCTCTAGCACCTATGTATGCTCTAGTACCCAAATTGAGAAAAAAAGTAATGACTCTATTTTGACACACTTGTAACTTCGATCTTGTGCTCTTTGTAAGACTACTATAGCAGATACTACACGCATAATCGAAATTACGTTATTTTGAAGCAGAAAGTAACGAGTAATCGTTTACAAGCTTTGTTTAAATATTTTGCTTTTATAGAAAGAAATTTCAATGTAAAACCTTTTTTGAAACCTTATTTCCAGTTATCGTGCCACACATGGTGTCATCAATGTCTAATCCTAGATACTTAACGGTATTTCTATATTCATGCAATTACCACCCCAGCTGATGTCTATAACGTTGGAGTTTCTTATATTTCCTACGGGTTAGGATAAATTATTCTTATTGGGCCACTATTCGAATTATTATTATCTCCGCCAAGAGGTTGGCAGGAGGTTATGTTTTCACCGGCGTGTGTTTGTTGGTGTGTGGGTTTGTGTACAGCCTAACTGAAAAAGTTATGGACGGATTGTCATAAAATTTTCAGGATAGGTCAGAAATGGGCTAACTTATAATCGATTAGATTTTGGTGGTGATCCGGATCCAATTAATTAATTAATTAATAAGCGCAGCGGGTACCCGCAGCTAGTATGATATAAATATATACTAGCGGATACCCGGCGTTGCCCGGGGAAATCGGTGGCGTTACTCAGTTGGTGACCGCTTGGTTGAAAGAAAAATACCCCAAATAGCATCTAACTGTCTATCTATCCATGCATCCATCCCATTCCATCCCATATCACATCACATCCCATCCCATCCCATCCCATCCCATCCCATCCCATCTCATTGCATCCTATGCCATTCCATGCCATCCCATGCCATGCCATGCCATCCCATCCCATGCCATCGCATGCCATCCCATGCCATCGCATTCCATCCCAAATAAATAAGAAATCAAAAGAAAAAGACATTAAAAATAAAAATAACTAGAGCACTCGGAGAGCGCAGACCTCCGCAAAGGCAGCTGAATTCTCTCAATGTGGAATTTTGTATTGATGAATTAATTAATTAAGGGAAAAAATTAATTAATGAATTAATGAATTAAATAATTTATTGGATCCGGATCACCACCAAAATGTAATCAATCGCTGAGTGCGAGCGTGCAGGTGGGGGAGGACTGTGGTTGCCCCTTAGCCTGTGGTTGCGTGTTTGTAAGTCTACAGCCAGCGCACCTAGCGGAAGTGAACTGAAACGTGCATGTTCACAAACCCACAAACACACAAACCAACACTCAAACACACGCCGGTGAAAACATAACCCCCGCCAAGCCCATTAACTCTTTATGTGACATAGGAAGATTCGCATATAAATGGTCTTCATTTTCACTTCCTATTTGGATTATTCGTCATAATATAATATAGAGTGTATAATATAAGCTATACAATACACTCTAAATCATATCCGCTGGCATTGAAGTTGAAATTCGAATTTTACCCGCACATCTCATCGACTATGCGTATATGCACCGCCGTGTAACTATGTAGGCAAGATTTTTAATGCAAATAGCATTGCTACAACTACATAGTTTGCGTAATATAAGAAAAAAATCCAAACATGGCTTCGCGCGGCTATAAAATCGACGTCGGCGAGGCATTAAACTATAGGCTTTTGCGATCGTTGTTCTACCTTCCTCTCTAGCGTCAATTACACCGGCTCATTCACTTTAACGAGTTTAAATAATTCATGAACGCTCTCGCGCGTTCGCACCGAAGTATGTCTTGTTAACATCGGTGTGGATCCGGGTCGCGTGTGAATGGAGCGCACGCGAGCCAGCCTGCGAGAGCGCGTATATACATACTCTCCTGAAGCTCTCGAAATAACATCCATAATAGATCGCCTCGCGAGATACGCGTGTAAATATTAATGGTTCAATCAAAGGCACGTGCCTTAAGCTGCGGCGGAACAGCAAAGGGAAATGAGAAGCGATTAAGCGCGACGAGTTGGCGCGCATTGCGCATGTGAATTGCGTTCAGGCGCGTTCAGGCGTTCAGCTGCGTTCACACGTATACACGGCCTAGCTGGTACCGTACTTAGTTGGTGCTAAGTTCGGGCTAAAATGCGTTCACATGAGATACACGACATTCGAGGCTTAGCTAGCTAGGTATAATATAGACTGGTACCAAAGCAAATCGAAGCAGCCAATCAGAAGGCGCTAAATTCTTCGCTATGTTATACCGTTTGGGGAAAAAAAATTTCGCGGCCGCGACACCTTGTTGAATTGTTATTCTTTAAATTTAGGCACAATATTATTTGAGCTCATTGTGTACGTCGGGGCATAGAGCGCCTTATAGTTTCAATTTAATGAAGCAATATGATATCCATTTACACGTGATTTGGATTTTGAATGCATGCTGAAATTATGTTCATCGACTGAAACAGAACATGAAACAGTCATTCGTAAGTATTTAACCTTCCGCTTCATTGTTTCCCAGATGAAGCCTCATTAGAGATCGAGCGTTTGTCGTTGCGAGTACTAAATGAAAACGGGTTGCTTCCCGGGATGCCGTCGCCGGATCTCCTGACAGAGTTTAGAGCACTCCCCAAATGCCAACTACTTATTTGAATCATCTCGTAGGGCCACGCCAGTGACCTTTGCTCTCTGACTCTCACTGGCAAAATTCGCTTCATATATTCGAGGCGGTGTCTGGTATTTATAATCACAACGCAATAATTAAGTTACTATAATCACGTATATCTTTATTACACACACATGACCATACATACATTTTTTTACATTATGTACGTCCATTGGATGTCAATCGGGTACAATTAATTCATTTATTTATTGATAACGTTTTTAAAAGCATGTGCAGTACAACAACCGAATATTTTTTATTCGCTGTGAAGAGCTTCCAGCATAATTTAGAACTTAAGAGCTAATGCTGTCTAACAGCTACCATTGTCTCTTACAAATTATTACAAGGTATGCATAAGTATTCATGGATACGTTGCGATAATGGGAACAAGTCTATGAAAATCACACGTAATTATTACTATATACATACATTTATGCGGGTGATACTCGATACTACCATCACATTTACACTTGTTGGACACACTATTTTATGATATGTTTTGCGAAAAAAGTATAGAATGCGTACGCGTATCTGGATCTGACATTTTATAACTACCGTAACCGCGAGATTTAATATGAACTATATATTATTGAACTATATATATATTGACCTACATATTTAATCAACTGCCTGTGTAGCGCGAAATTCCTGACTAAGTCTTGCGAAATACATGATATATAGGATGCGCATGCCCGAGTTTGATGACGAATTTTGTCGTGTGAACGCTCTCTTCAACGACGCTCCGTGTCGTTTTTGAACAATATATAATATATATAGTCGAGTAAAAAGAGCACAGTAGCGCATCTGTGAGTCTGCTTATATTTTGCCGCGGGTTGAAACGCGAGCTGCATGGGACGGTAAATTGGGTGCGGGCGCGACTCTTCTATCTCCGCTAGACACGTGTGCGCGCACGAGCGACGCCTAGTGGCGACTCTGCCAACACGCGTGTGTGGTTATGCCTGCGTGCGAAGATTCGCAAAGTGGTCGAATTATTCGACATTTGACGAGATTCGCGAGCGAAAGAGAAGATTTTTCGTCGGCATTTTCGTGGAACAGTGGATCACGTGGACCCCCCCCCCACACACACAGCTTTATGCGACGAGCGTGTAAGCGTGGCACCAACGTCATCGATGAATCCAGGAAAGACAGCAGCAACTCGCTGCGCCAAAAGAGAATTATAAATATTGTCACATGTAGCAGGCTTTGTCCGGAAACAATTCATGGAGGGGCTTCTGACCTGTGAAAACCGGCGCCGCGGGTATGGTTCTTACTGTTTGATCAACGTCCGATGTTGTGTAAGCCCCCCTCCCCCCACCTGAGGGGATTCCGTGAGTGCTACACTTACGCGGGAAGTCAAACAATGTTGCCGGGTGCTTAGCAGGATGGGATTTTTTACTGGCGCACGCGTTGACATTTATAGATGATAATGGGTGAGTTGTTCATCATCGCAAATGTGTTCATGTCACCCCCCCCCCACCACCACCACCACATCAACCACCACCGCCGCCGCCTTCCTTCCCTCTCTGCACACCCGTTGCTTTTAAAGGCTGCGAATGTAGGAGATCTAGAGGAAGCCATGCAGGCTTGGCAAACGGGCACGGCTGTAGGCGCTACAATCGCGCTGAGATGTGGGCAGTGAGTTCAG